GTTTTGCTTTTAGTTTTGATTCATCCTATCCTTGTCTCTATATCTATTCAATAGTCATCTCATGTTGATTTGTCTGGCTGCAGAGAAATAAACATGTTCTGTGGAAGGAATTCAGGATAACACACTAGTCATACCCTGCCCACTCAATATACCAGGATACCTACCCCCTGACCACCAAAATTTAGATTTTTTTTTTCTATAAAGCAATGTAAGCAACAGTACATTACATACTTGTTACCACTGTGCTGTATGTATTATTTTGTTATTCTGGGAGGACGTCATATGATGTCCCCTCTCAGGATTGTACCTCATGCGCCGCACTGGCCACACTCCAGCATGATCTGTCACCCGCTGTGTCCTGTGGACACAGCCGATGACAGATCACTGTACAGTTTTGCTGCTGGTACCATGTGATCGCTGTGGCCAATCACAGCAGATCACGTGACAATTGTACACAATGAAAGGCTTTGATTCATGTCTTTCATTGTGTACTATTGTGATGAGCTCTGTGATTGGTCACAATGATCACATGGTATAGACTGAGCCAATCACAGCCCATCTGTACCTCGTGATTAGCTGTGACCAATCACAGCTAATCACAATAGTAATCACTGAATGTATCATTTTAATTTAGAATAAGCAAAATTGACAGTTATAAGCAGCTACAGTGTGTAAACAAACAAACAAAAATCCTGATCACCTCCCCAGAGTAGTACAGTGTTACTGTGGTAACACTGTATTGCTCTGGTCACTGTATATGTAAAAAACAAATTGTAAAATAAAAAATGTAATAAAAAATTATTAAAATAATTGCAAAAAAATAGTTTTTTTTCTTTTTACATACAGTCACCAGTAAGTGTCCCTGAGTACCACCACACCAGTTATATGATGATGCTATACTGCACTGGTGATAATATGTCAATATTTTTTTTAAAAAATTGTGAAAAAAAACTTTTTTTTCAATTTCTTCATTTTTCAATAAAATTGTGCCAAAAAAATTACAACTTAAAAAAATTTGCCATGCCTCGTACGTAAGACCTTAGACTGCTTTCCAAAAAGGGGTAATTTGGGGGATATTTGTACTGTCCTGTCATTTTTGGGCCCCAGTACATCAGAATTTCAGATATATATACAGTATATATTATAGTTTGTGGACTCTATAACTTTCCTACAGCCGAAATATTATACACAGATTTTTGGTTATTTTCACCAAAGAAATGTAGCAGTAGTATACATTTTGGCCTAAATTTATGAAGAAAGATTATTTGCAAAAGAAAAAAATATTTATTTAGCCTGCTTTTAGTTCATACTTTGAGTGAAGTTGTTCTTTAAATACTTTCTCATTCACAAGTTCTTCACTATGTTGTTTTGCCCTGAGCCACACATGAAAAACATTCTGGTTCAGACCTGTGCAGAGTGTGCATGTGTACTTCTCGCCGTATTCATTTTGCTATTTCATGGTTGGAGCCACCATAAGTATTTATGGGAATGAATGAGACCACAGCCTATATTGCATAGGACGTGGCTGGGATGATTTTCTTGCAAAGGTTGTGGCTCTGGGCATGGCAGCACAGTAAGGAACTTGAGAGTAGGTAAGTATTTTAGTGCACGCTCCACACTGAGGGTGGTAGGGGGTAAATTTAAAGGACAACAGAAAGCCAGAAAATAAAAAAACAGACATAAATAAAAAAAAACAATTATTATTCAAATCTAGATAAATTGACCAAAGTTACCCTTTGCTTCACACAAGTCAGACAGTAAAAGCAATAAAATATATAAAGAATAAGATAGGAAATTATTGGGTGCAGCAGGCAATACTCTGTATGTCTACTCAAACCCACAACAAAAACACTGCTCTGGCAGAAAATGTTTTTCCAGCTATAAGGAAGAAAGCATTATATAAAAAAAGTAGAAACAATGACTTAAACTTTCAGTTTCCTTTCAGTTCAAAAATGTAATGTTGTTGAGGAAAAATAGCTAAGATTGTTTGTGAAGCAGAATTGTTGGTTTGCTATTTTTCTGTTAATGTGGACATCTAAAAATATGAATATACCTATTAGTTATTCCTTGGTTTAACATCTGACCTTCTTCTTCCTATGGGGATGAAGAAAGTTTAGAAACGTGTCTATAACTGCTTATTCTGTACACTCCATGCATTATTGAACCTACTGACTTGAAGAAAATCACTTATCTTGACAAATAAGAGGCTCTGAAAATACATTCTAAGGGAAATAGACTGCCTCTACTGATTTACTTCAATAGGTGGATCAGACAGTCACTCCAGACCTGTAATTGAATTATAAATCATATTTTACCATATTGAATCTAATAGTCTATTCTTCAACTAGTTAACCAAGTTAATAGCCAACAAGAACCAAGCAGAACTCCAGCAAAAAAAAACCAACATACATAAACATGAATAACGTGACAAGTCCCCTTAAAAATAGGATGTCTGGTCCCTCTGCATGCAATCCCAGCGTTTTAGTGCACCCAGTAAGCAATGGTGCAGTGTCTACCCCCTGCTGCCATCAAAGTCTATGGTAGACTGGGCACTGCTCCTGTGCCTCCCAAGTGCACTCAAATGCTGGGATTGAATGCACGGGGGCTAGACACCCCATTTATAAGGGGCCTAAAACAAAACCAACTTTTGCTTTAATGCCGACCCCTTCAGTCTAGAGATTTTCCACACTGTATTTGTTTTCTGTCATTAGATGTCCTCAGTCTGATGGCCAGCATCACTCAATCTACATCTTTTGCTCATTCTGAAGACATCCCAGCCTGTGAATGGACAGTGAATGGAGGAACAGTGAGGAGCTCATCTCTGCTTTCTCTTTCTGTCATCATGCTACTTGTCAGCTCATGAATTGATTGACTTCTTGTGTTGTTACATCTCTGGTTGAACAGGGACTTTAGAAGGTTGATACCAGGTAACTACTTGCACTCTGGAAGGATTTACTCCCCTTCCTGTCCAGGCCATTTTTTGCAATATGGCGTTGCATTACTTTAACTGCAATGCTGTACATAAATGACATTTATATCCTTTTTTCCCCACAAATAGAGCTTTCTTTCGGTGGTATTTGATCACCTGTGTGGTTTTTATTTTTCGCGCTATAAACAAGACAAAAAAAGACCAATAATTTTAAAAAAACAACAATATTTTTTACTTTTTGCTATAAAACATATCCAATAAAAAAATGTCAAAAATCTAATTTCTTCATAAATTTAATCCAAAATGTATTCTGCTATATGTCTTTGCTAAAAAAAAATCTCAATATGTGTAAATTAATTAGTTTACATGAAAGTTATAGCGTCTACAAATGGCAGTATATATACTGTAATTTTTATTACATTTTTAGACTAGTAATGGTGGCGATCAGCGGCTTATAGTGGAACTGCAGGACTGTGGTGGGCATTTTGACTTTGGGTGGGAACTGACTAACAGCTACTGACTTCCCCAATGACACTAATAGTGATCAGTACTAATAAAAAGCACTGACACTGTACAAATGACACTAGGCAGGAAGGGGTTAACATCTTGGGAGATCAAAGGGTTAACTGTGTGCTGTGTGTATTTTACAGTGTGCTGTGTTTTACTACGGAGACATGCTGTTTTGTATCTCTTTGCACAAAACAGCATGTCCATGCTGACAGGAGAGAGACCTTTCTTGTTTACACACAGGTTTCTCCCCTGTCAGCTTTACTCGATGATCGCTGATTGCTGGCCGGGACCCAGTGATTGACATCTCTAGCGGCTAATAGCGGCGTGAGTAGGACGCTGCATGCGTCCTACCTGGAAATGCAAATCATGTATATATATGTGATTTTGCGCAGCCCTGCGGCCCTGTAGCAGTGCTTCTGCTATAGGGCTGCAGGAAAGTGGTTAAAAAAATACATTAAATGATGTATTAATCATTACATATCTGCATTTATTTGTGTGTTAAATATCTGCCTAGAGTTTGGGCCTAAACTTTTGTTACTCCATTTAATTTCTACTCTGTGTCATATCTGGGAGTGAAACAAGAAGTACAGTATAGCTTAAAGTATATGTGAACACTCACCTTGTAAAACAACCTATACAGTCTAAAATAGAAATGAAAGGCAAAACATTTTCATATATTTATAAACAATATAGAGTATGAGATCCCATTTCAGTCTTTGCAGATAACACCAAGCTGTGCAGTGGAATAACACTTACAGGATGCCTCCAACGTACAAGCTGACCTCAATACACTGTTTAATTGGGCAACTATGTGGAAAATGAGACTTAATGTTGATAAATGTAAGGTTATGCACTTGTGGGCTAAGAATATGCATGCATCATATATACTAGGGGGAGTACAACTGGGGGAATGAATGGGGGTTCTGGTAGATCACAAGCTTAATAATGGCATGCAATGCCAAACTGCGGTTTCTAAAGCGAGCAAAATCCTCTCTTGTATTAAAAGAGGTATAGACTCCAGAGAGGGCGATATCATATTACCCCTGTACAAATCATTAGTAAGACCTCATCTGGAATATGCAGTTCAGTTTTGGGCACCAATTCAAAAAAGAACATTGAGGAACTTGAGAAAGTACAGAGAAGGGCAACTAAACTGATACGAGGCATGGAGGAGCTCAGCTATGAGGAAAGATTAGAGGAACTGAATTTATTCTCTCTAGAGAAGAGGAGCTTAACCACCTCCCGCCCGCCATATAGTCCAATGACAGGCACAAGGTGGTTCTCTCGTTCTGGGAGGACATCATATGACGTCCTCCCATTCTCACCGCGCTTGCGCGGCACAGGGAGTGCGCAGCGCGGCGATCGGTGGTGCGCTGTGTCCCTCGGACACAGCGGATCACCGATCCACGGAAAGAGCCAAAGATGTCAGCTTGGTCATGTGATCAGCTGTGTCCAATCACAGCTGATCACATGTAAACAGGGAAATGCCGGTTATCGGCATTTCTCTCCTCACGAGCTGTCACGCTGACAGCTCAAGAGAGAGAGGAGAGCCGGTAATCGGTAATGATCATTGTGGCCCCAGAAAAGCCACCTGTCAGTGTCCGTCAGTGCCAGCTGCCAGTGCTGAACAGTGCCATGTGCCAGTGCCACATCAATGCCACATATCAGTGCATACCAGTGCACATCAATGCCACATATCAGTGCATACCAGTGCACATCAATGCCACATATCAGTGCCCATCTGAGCTGCCTTTCAGTGTCACCCATCAGTGCCAGTCAGTGCCACCTAACAGTGCCAGTCAGTGCCACCTATCAGTGCCACCTATCAGTGCCATATATCAGTGCTGCCTTTCAGTGCCAATCAGTGATGCCTGTCGATGCCCATCAGTGCCACCTACCAGTGCCTCCTCATCAGTGCCACTTATCAGTGTCCATCAGTGCAGCCTATCAGTGCCCATCACTGCAGCCTCATTAGTGCATCAGTGAAGGAGAAAATCCCTTATTTACAAAATTTTACAACAAAAACTAAGAAAAAAAACATTTTTTTTTCCAAAATTTTCAGCAGTTTTTGGTTTGTTTAAGAAAAAATAAAAAACCCAGAGGTGATTAAATACCACCAAAATAAAGCTCTATCTGTCACAAAAAAAATGATAAAAATTTCATATGGGTACAGTATTCAAAGTGTGACAGCGCTGAGAGCTGGAAATTGGCCTGGGCAGGAAGGGGGTATAAGTGCCTTGTAGGCAAGCGGTTAAGGGGGAATATGATCAACATGTATAAATACATCAGTGGTTCATATAGTGAACTCGGTGTAGACTTATTCACCCTGAGGTCAACACAGAGGACAAGCGGGCACTCTTTACATCTGGAGGAAAAGGAATTGAATCTCCAAACATGGAAAGGTTTCTTCAAAGTGAGAGCTGTGAAAATGTGGAATAGACTTCCTCAAGAGTTGGTTCTGGCTAGCTCAGTGGATTGCTTCAAAAAAGGCCTGGATTATTTCTCAGATACACAAAATATAACTGGATCAGGGGTTGACTGACCATTTGGATACTCGGGCACTGCCCGAGGGCCCGGGGTCAGTAGGGGGCCCCATGAGATGCCCCTGGTACCTTTTTCATAGGCTTTTTTGAGTTTGGTCAAGGACACAGGGGCCCCATGATCCCTTATTGCCCGGGGGCCCCATGAGTTGTCAGTCCGCCCCTGAACCGGATACTAACATTTATAGGTAAAGTTGATCCAGGGAATATCCGAATGCCTCTCGGGGGATCAGGAAGGAATTCTTTTCCCAGCTGGTGCAAATTGGATCATGCTTTGCTGGGGTTTTTTGCCTTCCTCTGGATCAACTGTGGGTATAGGATTATAACTTTTTTTTTCTATGGTTGAACTGGATGGACTTTTGTCTTTTTTCAGCCAGACTAACTATGTAACATTTGTGCAAAGATTTAAAAAAAGGGGGAAAAAGGTATTTATAATTTTTTTTTGTAAGTGGTCACATAACTTCTGCTCTCAGCTGCTTAAGGAGCTCAGGGGGGAATGTCTGTGCAGGGGGGCCATGTCAGGACAAATTTGATTATTGGAAGAGAGCACAATGAGCATAGTGTGGTCAGTGTATAATAGGAAAGCAGAGGAACTGTCAGAAACACCAGGAATTTCACAGAAAGCAAGCAATATAAAGAGAACAGGATACTATTACATGACACAGCAGGCACATATCGGGAAAGTGAAATGTTGGGTTTACATATTATTTATGAACAAGTAGAAATTAAGGATTTTTTTTCTGGAAACTGTAGACTGTGACCTGCTTAAAGGCTCAGTATATTTAAAAACAAGTTGGAAGATACTGATATATTAGAAATAAAGAAATATATGAAAATATTTAGATATTTGTGCTAGGTTTCCTGAAACTAGTTATTATAATGTAGATGACTATAATTTGTAAGAAGGACATTGTACAGTAATAATAGAATTGTTGAACTGGTCTTATCTTTCTAATTAAAGCTACATAACAGCAATATGAGAAAGATATATATATATATATATATATATATATATATATATATATATATATATTTATTTATTTATTTTTTTCAGTTTTAACAAACTCCATTAGCAGTTCAGTACTGAATGCCTAACTTCAATCAGCCTGTGTATTTGTATTCAGCTAGGGAATGCTCAGAGCCAAAGGTTGTGTAAACTTATCACCATTCTTGTGCAGTGTTGCCCCCATATGAACTTTCTGTGTATCAATTTCTGTGTATTTTAATGCATTTTATATGGTAGACTTTGCTTATGCACATTTTCTCTCTTTGTTGCTGCACAGTGTGTACTAGAATCCCACATGCACACAAGGAAATTCTTCCAAATTTCAGAATGCTATACTTGAGCTCTGAATATACACTATATTACCAAAGGTATTGGGACCCCTCTCCAAATCATTGGATTCAACTGTTCCAATCTCCATGACCACAGGTGTATAAAATCAAGCACCTAGGCATAGAGACTGCTTCTAGATACATTTGTGAAAGAATGGGTCACTCTAAGGAGCTCAGTGAATTCAAGTGTAGTACCGTGATAGGTTGCCACCTGAGCAATAAGTCCATCTGTGAAATTTCCTTGCTACTAAATATTCCATGGTCAACTGTGCGTGGATGCAATGGTGTAAAGCATGCCACCACTGGACTCTAGAGCAGTGAAGACATGTTCTCTGGAGTGATGAATCACGCTTCTCTGTCTGGCAATCCGATGGACGTGTCTGGGTTTGGTGGTTGCCAGGAGAGCGGTACTTGCCTGACTGCATTGTGTATAGTGTAAAGTTTGGTGAAGGGGGGTTATGGTGTGGGGTTGTCTTTCAGGGGTTGGGCTTGGCTTCTTAGTTCCAGTGAAGGGAACTCTTAAGGCTTTATCATAGCAAGACATTTTGGATAATTTCATGCTCCCAACTTTGTGGGAACAGTTTGGGGATGGCCCCTTCCTGTTCCAACATGACTGTGCACTAGTGCACAAAGCAAGGTCCATAAAGACATGGATGAGCAAGTCTGGAGTGGATTACCTTGACTGGCTTGCACAGAGTCCTGACCTCAACCCAATAGAACACCTTTGGGATGAGAAGGCTTTCTTGTCTGACATCAGTGCCTGACTTCACAAATGCGCTTCTGGAAGAATGGTCAAACATTCCCATAGACACACTCCTAAACCTTGTGGACAGCCTTCCCAGAAGAGTTGAAGCTGTTATAGCTGCAAAGGGTGGGCTAACTCAATGTTGAACCCTACGGACTAAGATTAGGATGCCATAAAAGTTCATGTGAGTGTAAAGGCAGGCAAACCAATACGTTTGGCAATATAGTGTATCTTACTGTGCCTTAGTGATTTAATGTATCTTACTATGCCTTACTGTGCCTTAGTGATTTCCTGTGCCTGTTAGATGAGTTTATGTGAAATTTCCATTAATATATTACAACAAGTATATTTTAGTTAAATGGAAATATAAAGCATTTAACCCATTGAGTGTTTTGCAGCATCAAACTATTCCTAGCTTCCATAATGGTGTGAATGTATATAGTGTTGCACTATATAAGTTCTGGTCTTTTGTTGTCCCTTATCACATCTCACCTGAGTTGTAAACGGCAGACTTCTTTGAATCCTCCAAATATATGCCCAATATACATACAGGTACTATGACCAATTAGGGAGCATTATATTAGCCACAATACAGAAAGGAGGGGGGGATATAATGCTTTCTCACCAAGCTGTGGGTCACCATTTGTGTTGGGATACCCAGCAGCCAGCATGACCAGACCTGAAGGGGAGAGGTAAACTTACTTCATACTTGTATTGTACATTGTATTGTAAATATGGTTTTGTGGGTAATTTGTATAGGGGACTATAGTCAAGGGACTTATACCGTACATTGTGTTGCAAATACTGCTTAGCTTGTAATTTATATATATTATATAACTCTAAATGTATATTGCAGATGGAGCTACCCCTTTTGTGTAGGAACTCTCAGATCTACCTGTGTATATGTAAATACTCCTACAGGGATTAGGGTGTATTCACATATACACGTAACCTAGGTAATATGCCATATCAGGGAAATTATCAACGCCCATTAATACTTAAAAAGTGTGGTAACATGCAATAATATTGAGGGACTGGATTGATAGAGTTGACTATATAAATAAGATGGAAGAGCTATACCACATAGATGAAGATAAAATGGAAAAGTTTAGAAAGGAATGGGTTACTTGGTATGAGTTTAAGACATCTAAAAAATATCTGGACGTGGTGGGAGCCTCAGTTGGATTGATGTAGGAGAACTGAACTGAAGACCTAGAAAATAGCAGGAGGAAGGATTAAAGTAAAGAGATATAGTGAAGTATAGGAAGGGATAGGAAGATTTAGACAGAATTAAATGGACCGGGGGAATTGGGTGGGATTTGGGGGGGGGGGTAGGGAGGATGGGGGAACATAGGGGAATGGTTCTTATGTGATAATGATGAAAGTGTATGGTTTTAAATATTGAAATGGAAAAAAGAAGGAAAAATACTCAATAAAGATATAATTAAAAAAAAGGTGTGGTAACATGCAATAACATGGATGCTTTACCATGCGTTAATACATTACACAGCACCATGCAATGGTGCTACAGTACACTATTAAAACACATCTCTGCTCATAAACACTGCAGCATAACACAAGGCAAGCCATGCTCAAATCTATATTATTATTATTATACAGGATTTATATAGCACCAATAGTTTGCGCAGAGCTTTACATGAGGGCAAACAGTACAATTACAATACAATTCAATACAGGAGGAATCAGAGGGCCCTGCTTGTTAGAGCTTACAATCTAAAAGGGAAGGGTCAAGTGATACAAAAGGTAATAACTGTGAAGGATGTGCTGATAGATAAAGTTCATTTTCAGGGATCACCTAAAAGTGGACAGAATAGGAGATAATCAGAGAGATAGGGGTAGGGAATTCCATAGGATGGGAGAGACTCGTGAGAAGTCCTGGAGATAAGCATGGGAGGAGGTAACAAGGGAACTAGAGAGCAGGAGGTCTTGGGAGGAACAAAGAGAACAATTTGGTTGGTATTTTGAAACTAGATTAGTGATGTAGCTGGAGTCAAGTTGTGGATGGCTTTGTAAGTTGTTGTTAGTATTTTGAATTTAACTTGTTGAGCGAGTGGCAGAAAGTGCAGGGATTGGCAGAGAGAGGTGGCAGACACTGAATGGTTGGTAAGGTGGATGAGCCATGCAGCTGCATTCATGATAGACTGGAGGGAGGATAGCCTATATAGAGGTAAGCCAACGAGGAGGGAGTTGCAGTAGTCGAGGTGAGAGATAACCTGGGAGTGACTTAGGATCTTTGTGGTGTCATTGGTTAGGAGGTGGAGTAGTTTGGAGATTGGAGGCTGAGATGGCAAGCTTTGGAAAGTGAATGAATGTGGGGCTGAGAGGAGAGTTTAGAGTCCAGGATGAA